GGGAACTAAGGGGGAGGGGGAAAGGGGAAGCACCTAGACCTTACTGCAGGTAAAAAACTGGTAACGCATCCCCGCAGCTCAAATCTGAATTGAAGAATGAGTACATATTGCACGGTCGAGCCGAGCCAAGTCGGCCGAGCCGAGTCTTCCACTCAGAATAACAGCAACGGCGGCACAGGCTTACAAGCTACTTCTCAGCAGTAGCGTACTGCTCCAAAAGTAGATTACGCTGCGCTCTAAGCACGCACATAACAGCAATTCTCGTGAAAATAATCATAATAAATCATTGGAAATAAATCATAATAATCATAGTCATAATAATCGTTGAACATAGTCATAACTATCACTCTGTTGCTACAGGGCGGCTGATCCTTATTTTGTTTGGAGCAATTATAATCATAACAATAATCATCTTTGAATTTATAATCATAACAATAATAATTATTACTGCTACAGATGAGCGATTCTCACGAGTCTGGAGCCCTGACGAATCCGAGAGAAGTGGCGGCGCCGAATGAGCCGATCTCGGCCAATTTCTGCTTGTGCCAGTGTGCTCTGGCGCCGATGTTTAATTCGGCAAATGCTGTCTATACAACACCGATACTACATCCAATGCTCGCGGGAATTGCTTTGGCATATCCACCGGAATTGTTATGGCACCGTGGAAACATTGATTGAGCGCCGAGTACCCTGTTCTTGTTGCTTTTTTGTTTCTTTTTTTTGTTTTGTTTTGTTTTTGTTTTTGTTTTTTTTTTTGAAAACATAACTTTTATGATTAATGCTTGCGCTGGATCGTTCTAGCCGACCCAGGAAATCCGGGATGTGAAGCCCTGCTGGCCCTATTTGCTAAGGAAATTCCGGAAAGCTTTCTTAAGCCGGGAAGCTTTCTTAAACTTAATTAAGCTTAATTCCTAAGGAAATTAAGCGGTCTGTAATAGTCGTTTGGGTATTTAGGTATTTTTTTTTTTTGCAATTTTACTGTCTCATGCATTATCCTCACGGCATTCAGAGCTTTCTAGTCGAATTTGTTTCTCAAAAAAAAAAGAAAAAAACATTCCACTTGCATATACAGCTCGGATGCAGCAGCTCTGTTTTTCCCTGACTCGTCTGGAAAGGAAAACGCACAGAAAATATGCGAAAAAAAACCGAAAAGATTGTGATTTTTGACCGAGACTAATACTCTGTGTGGCTATATCCGAGCTTTTTTCTTCATTCTTAATAAAAAAGTAACAAATAATTGTTAATTTTTGAACTTGCATTTTTGTTGGATTTTGAACAGAAGAAGAAATAAATGGCCAACGCACGGGCTGCCCGTGCGAAGATGCGTTTTTTGCAGAGTTCCCCGCAGGTTTTTTTTGCTACCGCATCGGTTTTTCGGCAGATGCTTCTAGCTGAAAGAATTTCAGACTGGCCGCCAGAACTGTCAGGAAAAATCCCCTCAAAATTCCAGTCTTCTAGCTTTCCACGTTCTCGAGTAAGTAACTTACCCGGAAGGAACTTTTCACGAGCCTGTACGCAAGTACTACACTTACTCGCGGGCAGGGTTTAAACTCATTAATACCCACTCAGAGAGGGAACACCCTCTAAATTTCAGCTTTCTAGCATCTCAGGACCCCGAGTTATGAATTTACGCGGGAAAAATTTTGGGGGGTAAAGTTTCAGGGGGCTGGATTTGAGCTCATTAGCACCTGCTTGGACGGGGAATATTCCCATAAAATTTCAGCTCTCTAGCTTCTCAGAACCCCGAGTTATGAATTTACGCGGGAAAAATTTTGGGGGGCTCGTACGCGGGTACCGCGCCTATCCGGGAGCTGGATTTGAGATCATTAGTACCTACTTGGACGGGGAACATTCCCCTAAAATTTCAGCTTTCTAGCGTTTCAGAACCCCGAGTTATGAATTTACGCGGGAAAAATTTTGGGGGGCCCGTACACGGGTACCACGCTTAGCCGGGGACTGGATTTGAGCTCATTAGCACCTGCTTGGACGGGGCCCATACACGGGTACCACGCTTACCCGGGGGCTGGGTTTGAGCTCATTAGCATTTGCCTGGACGGCCCATACGCGGGTACCACGCTTACCCGGGGGGCTGGATTTGAGCTCATTAGCACCTGCTTGGACGGGAACATTCCCCTAAAATTTCAGCTTTCTAGCATCTCAGAACCCCGAGTTATGAATTTGCGCGGGAAAATAGGGTACTACGCTTACCCGGGGGCTGGGTTTGAGCTCATTAGAATCTGCTTGAACGGGGAACATACGCGGGTACCACGTTTACCCGGGGGCCCCTAAAATTTCAGCTTTCTAGCATCTCAGAACCCCGAGTTATGAATTTGCGCGGGAAAAATTTTGTGAGGCTCGTACGCGGGTACCACGCTTGCCCGGGGGCTGGATTTGAGCTCGTTAGTACCTATTTGGGCGGGGAACATTCCCATAAAATTTCGGCTCCCTAGCTTTTCTGGTTCGCGAGTTATCAGCTTCCCCGTAAAAAACTTTGGCGGGGTCTTACGGGGGTGCCGCGCGGGAACGACCGCCCATTTTGGGGATAGGGGCCCGTACGTGCATGTAGATTAAGTCCCCAAAGTTTCAGCCCC